TTTGTTCCCAATGGTCATAATGAGAGTGGTTGATAATACAATATAAAGGAATGTCCTTACGCCACCCTAGAGGGTAGAGGTGACAGATACTTTATGTACCTTTTGTACAACATCACACGTTAACCATTTTGAACTTCTTCTTATAATCAGAGGCTTCAGATATTTGAATGTTGAATGTTGAGGCTTGTTGTAGAAGATTCACTCTTAAGTCTTAGAACCTAAGTCTTGGAGTCTTCAAAGCTTGTCCTATTAGAACCTTCTCTTCAGAGTCTTCAACACTTGGTTGTAAAAACTTAATTTTCTTCAGATCATCAAAACTTGTTCAGCAGAACCTCGTCTTCATAATCTTAAGAACTTGTAACACAAAGAAGAAAAGATTTGGAAGGCCTTCAAAGCTTAACCATAAAGTCACGATCAGAACCTCTTGTACTAATATTCCTTAGACACGTTTCAGAAGATGGATTCCAGAATCTTGACTTCAATTATAACACGTAACCACATGTTTTCTTTCAGTGGTGTATGTTCAGAACTTGATGACATCACACACCTTCATACCAGAGTCATAACATTATAGCAGCAACTACATACTAAAACGAAACTATTAGTGTATACAATTGTTCACTAAGATAACATTGTAAAGTTATCATCAAAATCTTAAGGCCAGATGTAAAAACACTTCTTGTTCTTACAATGTTGGCCTAGACTGTCAATAGGGATAGCAAGGAGAAAATCTTGAGCATATTGACTATAACAAAACTAATAGTTAGATATTTTAGAATAAAATGATATAATGCGTAAATGTTCTAAAGAGAATAGGATAATTGAAATATAGTTATTCAGTAATTTAAAAATAAGATACTGATTTTATATATGTGTTGATGTGATTGTACATTGTAAATATATGTATGTGTTTGCATATTATTGAGTTGTATATGCCTAAGTGGTGATATTGATTATTAAGAAGTTGTGATTTTAGTCATGTGCATGATGATGTATTCTTATTTGGAATGTATGATTGCCTAAGTGGTGGAATTTGCCTAAGTGGCGTGCTTGCATTTGCATCATCATGACATGACATATGCATTTTTATGTGGTGCCTTAGTGGCGGGTTATTTTTTCTATTAATATGGGATGAATTATGTGTGGTGTCTTAGTAGCGGGCTGGTTATATTCTGATCATGTAGTTCTAAGAGTATGCAATTCATACCTAAAGATATTTGTAAAATAATGATTTCTGTGAGTTTAATTTCTCTTAAGCTATTATGGTTTGTATGATTTGTTCTATAATATCGTATGGTATATTTTGTTTGATTTGATATTGATGATGGAAGATTGACCCCTTACAAATAACATATTAGGTACTAATGATTTCAGGATGTGAAGCTACAAGGATAAAACATGGTGCACGATCGTGGGATTCAAATAAGGGTTTTGAACTTTTAATTTATTTGTAAGAAGATTTATTTTATCATCAAAATTTTAGAGACGAAGATTTGTAACGCCTTAAATAGTTTATTTTAATCATTTCCATTTAATTATGATTTTAGAATTTATCGTGGATGATTACTTTGTAAAATAAAAATAGTCACATTTTTAAAAATAAATGAAAACTTTAAAGTAATGTCTTTGACCAAAATACGAAGCATTACAATTAGCATTGTTAAAAAGAAATTAAACTGGTTAGATGGGGCTTTATCCCCCTTAAGAATGCACTTAGATCCTTCCATGCATGGAAGGTCACCATCTCGCTGATCGGTTTGGGCAACCCTTATGCAGGCTACGTGATTGTTGTTGAAATATTAAAATTGATTAGATTATATTAGATTTAATATTTAAATATAATCTAAATTGTGTTATCCCAAGCCCAATTAGGGTTGTATATAAATAGTCATAGTATGTATCCTTATTTTATTCAATTCATCAAGTGAATAATAGAATCCTTATTTCCTTTATTATTCTCTCTTTCTCTCCTCACTAAAAATGCATCACACACTAACAAATTGGTATCCAGAGCTTCCAATTATTGTTCTTGATCGAGTTTTCAAGAACTTCACATCAGAGACCGTGTTTCCAGGACAAGTGAATCAACCGCTGCAAAGATGGCTAGTGATATGGGCATTATGAATTCTCTTCCAATGCTTGATGACAAAAATTGGATTTGATAGAAAAAACAGACGCAATCCTTGTTTGGCTTCCATGAAACCCTAGAAGTTGTTATCTAAGGCGTTCCTGCGTTGAATGCAAATGCAACCGATGAACAGAAAAAAATCCCATAATGAAGTCAAGAAGAAATATTGCAAGACTCCTTATTACATTCAGACGGTGGTCGATGTTGCTAACTTCGATGGGATTTCTCATGCTGAAACAGCGAAGTAGGCATGGGATATTTTGGTGAATTATTATAAAGGAGGTGAGAAGGACAAGGTTGTAAAGTTACAAACCTTACATCGACAATATAAGTTATTATCGATAGGAGAAGATGAAAGAATTGCATAATATGTGTCGAAGGTTCAGAAACTCGTTCATCTCATAAAGGGTTGTGGTGAAATAATAACTTATAAGTTGATAGTTGAGAAGGTAATGAGAAACTTTAAACCCTAAAAGTGGAGGATTTGGTTGGTTCGTTGGAGGCTCATGAGATGAAGATTGTCGAAATAAAAGGAGTTCAGGACTCGATACATGAACTACAAGCTCAATCATGGAAAAGGAATGGGAGTTCCAACAAGTTCAAAGGAAATGTTGATGAGACTCAGGGAAATGAGTCTTGGTCGAACCCTCAAAAGCATCAGGTCGAAGACATAACTTTTGAATCCTCGAAAAGAGGAGGAGGAAATTATCGAAAGGACAAAGAAGATAAAAAAAAGGTGTGCAATGCTATAACTGTGAAAAGTGAGGTCACGTAGCTAAGAATTGTTGGTACAGAAAAGACAAGGGATCGATAGGATGAAGGAGTGAACCTTGCACGCTAATATTCAGATGATTCTGTAGGTGGTATGGTGGTTATAGCTGCAGTTGTAAATTACCATGTCGAATCCAAGATCTAGTTTCTCGACTCAGGTTGCTCGAACCACATGACTGGTCGAAAGGAGTGGTTGGCCGATTTTGACAAGTCGGAGAAGAGCAAGGTAAAACTTGTTGATAATAATTCGTTGCAAGAAGAAGGTACTTGCAACATAGTCTTTTAAATGAGTAGTGGATGGAAATCTATGATCAAAGATGTTCTCTATGTACCTGGAATGAAGTGAAACTTGCTAAGTGTTGGATAACTAGTCGAAAAATATTTCTCAATTGTCATGAAAGGTGGAGTTTTAAAATTGTTCGACACCAAGAACAATTTGGTCTTAAAATCTCCTCCGTCGAAGAATATGATGTTTAAGACCATGATTAATTCGATTGAAGTACAACGTCTAAAAACTGTTGTCGGCCACAAGGATAGTTGGTTGTGGCATTTGAGGTTTGGGCATTTGAATGTTGTTGTTGTATTTTTTATATTTTTACTGCGGGTTCGGGTTTGGGTAGAAAAACCCGAACTCAACGGGTGTGGACGTGGGTGTTATTTTGCCACCCAAATAGCCTTTGGGTTTGGGTTCGGGTTCGGGTTTGTCAACCCCGCCTGTTTCCATCCAGAAGCATCTATGTATACATATCTTTGTAATCAACAGTTGTTGATAGGTTCCTTGAGTGACTAGGTGTAGTCAGGATCCTCAAGAAGACTTTGATTGCGATCATTGTGGATTGTCAATAAGGATCAACAAACTTGTTATGGTTGTCAACAAGGTTGATCAGACTTATTGTGATTGTCTGTAATCGGTGGATTATAGTGGATTAAGTCCTTGTGGAAAAGGCAAATCCCCTTGCGGGGTGAACTGAAGTAACTTAGTTAACAGTGATTCAGGATAAAAATGATTGGATTCATTTATTTTTATTCACTTGTTAGCTATTGTGTTTGAGTTGTAAAAAGTTTATATTTGGTGGAACCCAATTCAAACCCCCTTTCTTGTGTTTCTCGCACCTTCAGTTTACATAATGTTGAGTTGTGTATGCCTAAGTGGTGAGATTGATTATTAAGAAGTTGTGATTTTAGTCATGTGCATGATGATGTATTATTATTTGGACTGTATGATTGCCTAAGTGGCGGAATTTGCCTAAGTGGCAAGCTTGCATTTACATATGCATTTTTGTGTGGTTTCTTAGTGGCGAGTTATTTTTCTCATTAATATGGGACGGATTTTATGTGGTGTCTTAGTGACGGACTGATTATATTTTAATCATGTAGTTCTAAGAGCATGCATATTCATACCTAAAGATATTTGTAAAATAATGATTTTTGTTAATTTAATTTCTCTTAAGCTATTATGTTTTGTATAATTTATTCTATAATATTGTACTGTATGTTTTGTTTGATTTGATATGGGCGATGGAAGATTGATCTCTTACAAATAACATATTAGGTACTAATGAGTTCAGGATGTAAAGCTACGAAGATAAAACATGATGCACGATCCTGAGATTCAAATAAGGATTTTGAACTTATAATTTTATTTATAAGAAAATTTATTTTATTATCAAAATTTTAGAGACGATGATTTATAACGCCTTAAATAGTTTATTTTAATCATTTTCATTTATTTATGATTTTAAAATTTTTTATGGAAGATTACTTTGTAAAAAAATAGTCACATTTTCAGAAGTAGATGATAACTTTAAAATAATGTCTTGGACCAAAGTATAGAACGTTACAATAAACATTGTTAAAAAGAGATTAAACTAATTAGATGGGGCTTTATCCCCCTTAAGAATGCACTTAGATCCTTCCCTGCATGGAAAGTCACCTTCTCGGCGATCCAAAGGCTAAAAAATATAGCACTATATATTTCACGAACCTTCTGTTGAAAAATTTGTTCACTTCCTTGTTCTTTAAAAAAAATGTATTTCATTTAATACTTCCCTCACTTGCTTAGTAATTACATGATTGTTAGAAACTCACTATCTTTCAGAACCTAAGCATACACCAAATCATAAGCTAATGCTACAAAAGGGTTTACAATCCAAACACTTACAACAACTGATAGTGTCACTTTATCCATGTCATCATTGTCTTCATTTGTCAGAGAAGTTACAAGGTGTTTAAACTTTCTGTTAAGTTTATAGACACAATTGTGAAGACTAGACAAAAGACTTGAGGGGCAAGAAACATCGAAGGTAACGATTCTAGTCATTCAAAGCGCATTTACGATACCCTTATAGATGTTTACAGGTTTACAATGACTGGATGAATAAATTTAACTCCTTGCATGCTCAGGAATGAGACGTTGACGCAAATCGTCGGGCACATTTACCAGTTCTGCAATGTTTTAGTTTTTTATAAGCAACGCGAAAAGATAGTGTATATAATGAAAAAATTAAATCTTCACCGTGACTACTGTCTTACCTTGAGGTGTGAAGTTGAACAAAGGAGGTAGAGGTTGTCCATTTGGCAGGCTTGCTTTTGGGTCTCGCAGATCATCGAAGAACGGGTGTGCGCATGCCGCCAACTGAAAACAGAAACAATTAGATCAGACTAACTTCAAGAGTGTTCGAGCTTGAATGAAATTAAGAAATGATGATTTTTAGCATAAATGACTACATTACTAGAACATTAAGAGTGGTAGGTCTTGCTTCTTTGGTGAGTAAATATCACATATAAAAATGACGGCATAAACACTAACGAGATGGTATTATGGGAGAGTTTATAGAAATAACTTATGACATCAACTTATTTCCTAAACTCTCCGAGAGCTTATGAAAATAACTTATATGAAAACAGTTTGACTTTATTCCATTCTTTGTTGTACAAATAGATTATAGAAACTTACTGCGGTGCAACGCAGATGTGGAGAATACTGAAGCAACCTTGAAACTAGATCCACTGCTTCAGATGGCATTCTCTTGTGAAAAAGCTGGAAATCACAAATTCAGTCAGATATGAACAGAAGAATTTATGATTTATCAATTATATCCAAACTTCAGAGGGAAATTGATGGGTAAAAGAACTACTAACCTTGTGCCACGGGTGCGCTTTAATCTGCGGGAACTTAAATTCATTGTAGTTTGGATTCATGCACCTTATTTCTTCTCTGGTTGGTGTTCCCAAGACCTAGAGTAGATGATAAAAATTCAGATTCAAGAAAAAAAGTAGACGGAATGAAACTTTTAAAAAGCTCACAAAGCACGAAGGATACAGAAAATTGAAGAACACGAGAAATTGTACCTTAATGATCTCCACCAGCTGATCAACTCCACTCTCTCCCGGAAACAATGCCTGCAAATAATAAAGAATAGATAAGTATCAACAGAAAGGGTCGACCTTTAGAGAGATAGAGGAACAAGAAACAAAGGAAGAAAACAACATGAATATGCTCACCTGTCCTAGAAGGAGCTCAGCCAAGACACAACCAGCAGACCACATATCAATAGCAGTTGTATATTCAGTTGCTCCAAATATAAGCTCCGGAGCTCTATAATATCTTGAGCATATGTACGAAATGTTGGGTTCACCAGGCACCTTAAATGCAACAATATCATAAATTCAGATACAAACTATTATCATACTCAATAATAACATAAGCTCTTCAAATTCAGAGGGTGAAGAAACTCACCAACATCTTTGCACTCCCAAAATCACATATCTTCAACTGATGTGTCTGTTGATTGACCTATCATTTGTATCACATGTCATTTCAAACTTCAAAATGCTTTCATAGTGTTGGAATATTCATTACAAAAGTTCATACATAAAGAGCTGAAACGCTCAAACTAACAAAACCAAATCTTACCAATAGGTTCTGTGGTTTGATGTCTCGATGACAAACGCCAATCACTTCATGTAAATAATTTAATCCCCGTAAAATCTACAAAATAATTATGCCAGGATTAATTAATACATGCACAATAATAATAAGCCATTAGCAATTAGCTAGAGAACAAGCCAACTCACACTTCATAGACTTACCTGGTATGTATACAGCTGAACGTAAATAATAGGCATATGTTGGTGCGTCCGGCTATAGTTCTTTGAAACTTTGTAAACAGTTTCAGGTACATACTCCAAAACGAGGTTAAGGTATAGCTCATCTTTTTCGGTTGTTGAATAGAAACAGTGCTTCAACTTCACAACATTAGGATGGTCAACCATACGCATAACTTGGAGTTCCCTGTTCTTATATCTCTTGTCTTGCAACACTTTTTTTATGGCAACCGCTCCACCGGTTTCAAGGCACTTAGCCTACATCAAACAAAGAACGTCATCAATAAGTTAACATCTCTTGGGGAGAGTAAAAAAAACAACTACATTCAAAGAATATAAATACCTGAAAAACAACACCGAAAGAGCCAGTTCCGACCACGCGCTCAGCCATGTATGAGATTGTCTAAGCCAGGCATAATATTAGTTTAGTTATTAAGAGCTCTATATTTTGTAGCGAATCATTAATAAGGTATAAAATTTAGGATTTAGCCGACAAAGGTAAGCAAAATCTTGGAAATAAAGGTACTAATGGTAATGCAAAGATAATGAAGTAACAACCTGTTTTGGTTGTCCATCTCGGCCACTAATAGTTGTGGTAATAATTTGACCTGTTTCTGTTCCATTGCCACTCACTGTAGTTGCTTCTATTTCCTGCATACAAATTTTTTATCAGTATATTCAATAATTATTGATGCATTCAAAGAGTTTCCATGCTCTTAAGTTTAACTATAAAAGAAGCTTGTACTTTGTAAGGAATGTGTATGAAATTTATACACATGATTCTACATTTATAGAACAGTACATTAATAATGACGAAAAAGCTTATATCTATGAAACCAACTATTACAGATCAATGAATATCATTAACTACCTTCTCGTTGTTGTTAGTACTTTTCTCGTCTCTAATTTTCATCTCATGTAATTCTTTCGGAAGTTCATCAAAACCGGATTTCTCAGTCTTCGTTACTGCAGCTACATTAGAACTCCCAACTGTAGCTTCTTTTGATGCTTCCACACGCTGCTCCCGAACACTTCTACTTAAAGTATTTGTTCCCCTCCCTGAAAAAACCTTCTCGGTTTCTTGATCAAACTTAGCTCTTTTCGAATTAGAATCCCCTCCCTGAAAAAAAAAAAATAAACATCTCAACTATCATAAAACATTCAAAACAAACACACTTCCAGAAGCATGGGACAAAACTCAAGAAAATGTAACAAACTTTACTAACCCAGTACTTAATCTCAGAATGAATAACCAAACTAAAAAAAGCTTTAAAATCCAACAAAAAAAAAAAAGAAGCTTTTTCTACACAAGAGTTCCAGGAAAATCCAAACAAATCTCATAAACTATAAACAGTGAACTTGATTTGATTGTTCATTTCTTCATCTACTTCATTTCTTCCAGTTTTTTTCAGCAAGCAAAAAAACACAATTTAAAACCAAATTCATGACTACAAAAACCTTAAAGTATGTTATTCTTACAGGATCTGAAGAAATCGAAGTCCTCCCCGAAGCAATGCTCTTGAGACGACGCATCATATTCATGGTTGCTGATTCCACTCACAACACAACACAACACAACACAAACCCTAATTTTCTAAATCTCAACCAAAAAAATATAAATAAAATCCTTAAAAGTATAAAAAAAAAAATGGAACACAACACAATCTAACGAAAGTTACGAGACCGGTGTTTTTTCTCTCTCTAGATTTTCTCTATCTTTTTGATGATTCTCGCAGGTGGTCTTTTTTTTTGTTTTTTTTTTAATTAATGAAAAAATAAATAGTACTATGTCTGAATTCTTTTCTACGGTCAAACCTAATCATTCCAAGTTCAAAATATGTACGTCGGTCAAACGCGTAATCTTGACCGTTTGTGGGTCCCGCGAGGTAAAATGGACAGTGGAGATTTTGTGGATTTGAGGTTGGGTTTGGTGGGTTGTGGTTTTGGAAATCACCTTTGAATTTTGGATTCTTTGACAGAGTTGCGGCGATTAAATTGGAATGTATCCAACGGCGGTTTAAGAAGTAATCTAAGCTAATTCAATTTGGATTTTTTTTTGGATAATAGATCAAAAATGATATTTTTATATTTCTAGCATGTTTTGATAGATTTTTGGATTCAGAATTAATTTTAAAATGTGTCGAATTGATTATTGGTGATTTGAGAGATTTGTTTTATAAATAAAATTGATTGTGCTTTCTTTAGTTGAAACTAAAATTTGTATTGCTTTTTGGAGTGATTAATGTTCCAATTGTCTTTATGGATTTTATGAAGTGTGTGTTCCAACTCTATCTAGATTAATTTGCAGTAATTTTCATTGGTGACATAATGATTTATTCTTGTATATTTTAAGAGCATGAGGAACATTTGAAAATTATACTTTCTGTTACACTATTCTTTATAGCTTTCTGGGTAGTATACTGTATGTCATATTCTATCAAGATCATCTGTCATCTCGCTATTCTCCCCGAAAGAGTGGGCTTCTCAAAGATGTATTTTATTGGGTCCATTTTAGATATCAACAGAGTAGTATGGGTCATCATATACTGTCTCAGCCGGCGAGTAGTCCATGTCAGAGCGCAACAAGTTTTCTCAAGCAGTGAATATCTTGTTTCACAGTCGGTAAAATTTTTGCTCAGGTAATAAATAACATGCTCTTTTTGGCTAGACTCGTCATGCTACCCCAACACACACCCCATTGAGTTTTCTAAAACAGTCAAATACAGGATTAAAGGTCTTCCCTTGACGGGTAAATATTCCTTGATTTTGTCAAAAGCAACTTGGCATTCGTCATTCCATTTGACTACTTGATCTTTTTTCAAGAGCTTGAAGATTGGCTCGCAAGTAGCTGTCAGGTGAGAAATGAACCTGGAGATGTAATTCAAACGTCCCAAGAATTCTCTGACTTCTTTCTCAGTACGAGGAGAAGGCATCTCTTGTATCGCTTTAACCTTGGCAGGATCAACCTCGATACCTTTGTTGCTGACAACAAAACCTAGGAGCTTACTAGACCAGACTTCGAACGTGCACTTGTTTGGATTCAACCTCAATTTGTACTTCTTCAGCCTCTCAAACAACTTCTGTAAGTGGTCAAGATGCTCTTCTTCCGTTTGTGATATGGCTATCATATCGTCTACGTAGACCTCTATCTCATGATGTATCATGTCATGAAATAAAGCTACCATGGCGCGTTGATAAGTTGCCCCAACATTCTTTAGTCTGAATGGCATGACCTTATAGCAGAATGTGCCCCACTGTGTAACAAAGGTTGTTTTCTCCATATCCTCAGGTGCCATTTTAATTTGATTGTAGCATGAGAAACCATCCATGAAGGAAAACACTTTGTGTTGTGTCGTATTGTCAACCAGGATGTCGATATAGGGGAGTGGGAAATCGTCTTTGGGGCTTGCCCTATTCAAATCTGTGTAGTCCACACACATTCGCACTTTACCGTCTTTCTTGGGCACAAGAACAACATTGGCCACCCATTGGGGATAAGAGGTGACAGCCAAAAATCCAGCATTGAATTGCTTCATGACTTCTGCCTTGATCTTTTCTGACATATCAGGCCACATGTGGCAAACCTTTTGCTTTACTGGAGGACAATCTTCCTTTGTAGGCAGACGATGTACCACAATGTCTGTATCAAGTTCCGACATGTCTTTGTACGACTAGGTGAATACTTCAACATAATCGTGCAGCAACTGAATCAGACGCTCCTTAACATTAGGTTCCAAATTGGCACCTACCTTGACCTCCTTTTTGTCTTCCTCAGTTCCCAAGTTAACTGTTTCGACCGGCTCTTCGTGCGGCTGAATGGTCCTTTCTTCCTGTTGCAACAACCTGGCCAACTCCCCTGGCACCTCACAATCTTCCTCACTTTCGTCGTCGGCTTGGTAGATCGGGTTTTCAAAGTCACAATTGGCCATAGCAGAACTGTTACCCATGGGATCCTGAGTGGATGTAGATCTGCATTTTAATATGTGAGTGTGTGTAAGAGCTTAGCTACTTTTTAAAGAAAATAAAATGTACGAAAGAAAAACAAAGAACACAAAATTTGATGCAAAAAACGTCCATGATTCATTAATGACATATGAGAATGAAATGACAACCCTCACAAATGGACCGTTGTGCCTCGGGTAAGACACAAGGTTTTTAAAAAGTCTGAATTGTTTAAATATTACAATCCTGAAAATATTAAAAGAAAATTACTCTTGAATAAATGTAATAGGAACGAAATCTTTGGCCTCCCAATTGTTGAGCCCTCCGTCGATGGTTGGAAAAATCCATTCATCCATGTCACAAATGCCATCATTGTCTTCTATTGCATTGACTCCTTGATTGCTGATATGCAAAGGTGGTCCCCCAGCGCGAGAACGTCGAACAGCTCTTTGGGCCTATGAAGTGAATCCCAACCCAAATTTGTCGGACTTGTAGGGAATATTCGGAAGTTGACCCCAGATAGTACATCCTCCTTCTTCAACTACTGCTCGAGCATCTTTCAAAGAGGCCATCTTTAGTGGAGGTCTGGTAATCTTTGGGACCTTTGGAGTAGACTTGGTTGCCGCGACCGTTGTTGGAACCTCCTCAAAGTTCTGACAGGGAGTCTCTATGAATTCACCATCCATTTCAACATATCTGAAAGAGTTCAGATGGCTAACCATGTACTCCTCCTCTCCGTGAACTGTGACAATCTTTCCTTTGATCGGGTATTTTAGCATTTGGTGTAGGGTAGAAGTGACGGCACCAGCACCATGGATCCAGGGTCGACCCAACAGACAAGAGTATGAAGGGCAAATGTCCATCACATAGAAAATTGAGTCAAAAGTCCGAGTCCCAATTTTTATGGGGATACTAACTTCTCCGTGAACTGTCCTCTTGGAGCCATCAAAGGCCCTTACTATGATGTTGCATGGTTTCAAGATGAGCCCCTCGCAATCCAGTCGGTCGAGAGCATTTTTGGGTAAAACATTCAATTATGAGCCGATATCCACCAAAACATGGGAAAGTGTGGTACCCCTGCATTCTATGGAAATATGTAGGGCATCGTTGTGCTTCCTTCCCTTAGAGGTTAAATCAGCGTCGGAAAAGCCCAATCCATTATCAGCAGTTAGATTGGCCACACAGTTTTCAAATTGGTCGATGGAGGTCTCTTGGGGCACGTGAGCAGTCTTAAGAAACTTTACCAAGGCTTTGGCGTGGGTCTCAGAACACAAAAGTAAAGACAACAATGATATCTTCGAGGGGGTCTGCCCCAACTGTTCGACAATGTTGTAGTCACTTTTCTTGATTATCTTCAGTATTTCTTCTATTTCTTTTCTAGAAGCTTCAAGGATGACCTCAGGACGTTCTCTTGCTTGGGCAGACTCAATCAAAGCCTCTTTTCCCCTTATATCAATAGCAGGGATAACAGTAGGAGTATCACTAGGAGTGTCGGTAGGAGTGGCAGTAGGAATGATCACAGGAGTAGCAATGGTCTTTGGAGAAATCTCATGTGAGAAGACTTTTCCACTTCTTGTTATTTTGCTGGTCCCAGTGATGTTACCGATATCGGGATCAATATCTCTCGCAACTTCGTCTTTGACAGCCAACTGATCTTGCTTGATGCCATAGTAATAAACGTCAGCCTCATAACTCCATGGAACAACTTTATCCGAGGAGTATGATATTGGTCTTGGCATAATGATGATTAAAGGTGTAGATCTTGGAACAGATGTAATCTTGATGGGTCTTTTAGTGGAGACCCTGGGAGGATTGTCATAAATGGTGATTATCGAAACATCTTGATAAGAACTTTTGATAAGAGGTAGATTTTCAAATAGGATTTCTTTGCTAGTCATTAGGCGCTGAACGCCTATCTTTAGTAACAAACAGTCGTTCGGTAGAGACTTGCATAAGTGACAATCTTCATCGCAACCTGGGAATAGGCCAACTTGCATAAGTGACAATCTTCATTGCAACCTGGGAATAGGCCAACTTGCAGTAGATTCTGTTTAATGGTCAATAGAGGAGTAACTAAGTCATTCACGGAGGAGACAAAACGATCATCATCAATGGCGTTGATACCTTGGCCACGTCTGGGCATTGGTGTTGTTATTACATTAGGCGTTTCTGAGGGATCAAATTCAATCTCTTTCGCATCGATAAGGTCTTGCAACTTATTTTTTAAGGCCCAACAATCATTTGTATCGTGCCCCGGGCTTTCAGAATGATAGGCACATCGGGCGTTTGGGTTGTAGAGAGGAGAAGCAGTATTGGGGTTCTTGGGAGATTCCTTTAAAGTTTCCAGATTGGTCTTTAGAAGGTGTGGTAAAACTTGAGACATGGTCATGTTAATCCGGGTAAATTGTCTCATGGGTGCTTCTGGTTTGCGCTGATAATTTCGCTGCTGATTTGGCGCAGGGTTAGAAATCATGACAACCCCTATTGTCGAGCGACAGTCAGTTTTATTTTGATTCCTATATTCATATGCAGCACTGACCTCCTTCTTTCCAACAAAGGGCTTCTTCACCATACTCGAGGATACATCTCTTTGAATTTTG